GATGATTTAATATAATATGTATATTTAATATTATATATTAACATAATGGTCAATGGCAGTGGCGTCCGCAGGATTTTTCAATGGGGGGGGGGCTTTAAAATTAGTTAGGTACATTTTTATTTTATTTTGTCCAGTCTAATAATTTCAGACGTTTATTTGAGGTATTTTAAAATGTTTGTAACTTTTCAAATTTTTTGGTAGAAAAAATGCTCTGATCATAAGCATCTAGTTGGTACTTTTAGGTGGTCGAAATTAAAAATTCTCCGTGCTTTTAAAAATAATTGGAGAAAAAAAATGAAAATTTATTTAAATGTTTGGTTATACCGTCTTCACTTGGATTGTATTTGAATAATTAAATTTTTTTTTTCTATATAAATGTCAATAAAAATTATTTATCCGGTTAAAAACCTTAAAAATGTAATACATAAGTTATTTTATTATAGCTAAAATATTAACGATACATATGCATAGTGTTTGAAAATTTCATGAAATTTAAAAAAATGAAATATTTCAGTAGGTATTTTGATATATTTTGTTTTATTTTTAAATAAGTTTTATATTTACATATAATTGTCATAAATTACCTTCATAACTATATGGTACCTGTATGTATACCTAACCTTTGGTATTATACATTTAAAATGGTATTCAAAATTTTTAAATATTTTAATGTTTAAATGATACAAGTAGGTATACAATATTATACATGTATTTTGTATAAATACTGAATTCTGTCATTAGAATTTAGAACACTGAACATTGTGTTAAAAAATAAATAAATTGTGTTTTTATTTGTGTAAAAAAATTTCAATGTGTCACGTTTTTGTGAAATATTTGATATTTCATACTTCAAACACTACTTAGGCACCATGGTTATTTTTTATAAGCATTTAAAGTTCAAATTTCGTCAAAATGACAGTTAATTTGTAGTTCAAAACTTATAAAATATAAAATATATATAGCTAAGGCTAGACAATTTAATACAAGGTCTTTCATACAAGTAGTTCTTACTTTTACCTAAAAATTACAGATAATTTATGAAAATTGGTATGCAAATACAATGTTCTTTCAAAAATGAATTCATTCTGGTAACCCATATATGAAATTTACTTCTGGCTTACTATAGTCTATAGTTGACAGTTTAACTTGATTAATATTTTTTTGAAAAAGTAACAATAATACCGGCAATGGGGTGGGCTTCAGCCCTTTAGCCCCCCCCTGCGGACGCCACTGGTCAATGGTATGTATAGAACAATCATTTTTAACTTTTAATATTTTTAACAATCATTGTCAGTCCTAAGCCTCTAAGTGGTAAGGGAAACGAGTGTATTATAAACGTTTAAACTCTTCAAATGCATGATATTTTTGTCGGAAAAGGTACCTTTTTTGAGTCCAAGTGCAGTTCGACTAAAATAAGTGCAATTCGGCCATACCCAAACAGTATTCTATAGGTTGAATTCATTTTTGGCCGAATACATTAAATTTGATATAGGTACTTTATATGTTTCAAATAGGTACCCAGTACCCACGAATAATATTTTTAAATTAATACGAAAAAAATAAAAAATTATTCTTATATATCTAAATATCTAAAATTAGAACATAAAATATACCTATTTTTAAAAAAACTGTTAAAGATTTTGAAGAATTTTATCAATAATTTAACTTAAAATATCATAAAAAATGTAATATAGGTATAAATATAATTATAGCAATAATGATTGTGGTATGTGTGGGTGAATGTCGGCTGGAGTTGCATTTGTTATTCGTACAATTAATAAAATATTATGCTCACGGCGACGGCCGTGGTGCGAACAATGTGTATAGGTAAAATATAGGTAATTGGTATTGGTAATACTTTTGAATTTTGATTATAATTTATTCTTAGGCCGTTAGCTGAAGAAACCGAAGCTACTAAAAATAAATATAAACAAGATATATTACTATATACCTAACTAATAGAAATATTACTATTTATAAATATATTACTAGTTTTACTATAGGTGTCTTATTGTCTCAGAATCTCAGATTTTTAGAAAATATCTTAGTGTCCAGTGTACACAGGTCACAGACCCAAAAAATAAAAACCCATAAACCATTGTCAATACATACGTCATACATCGATTTGCTCAGAACCCAAAATATGAAATTGATAATAAATTAAATACGCATATTATATATTAATAAATAATAATTTATTTATTTAATTTTTATTTCACTAATTGAAATGATGATGTCTCAAAAATGCTGCAAGCTTGTGTAGAAGATACAACGTTCTATACACTATACCTAGTTTAACTTGTAAAAATTAGAATATATACAATATATAAATAAAACTAATCATAAAAATATTTAAATAAATATATATAATCCAAAACAAAAATGTCTAATAATAACTGCTGGTTATTGTAAGATAATATAACAATATATAGGCATTATTTCAATAGGTAAAAATTTCATTTTTATACTAATATATTTATTGTAGGTAACTGTTAAAATTATTAAAAATATTGATGTTAATACCAAATTGATTACCTACCTTACCTATCTAGTATCTACACATAGGTATAGGTACCAATACTAATATTAAGAGGATCACTTTTCCCAAATTTACATATTTTGATACAATGATACCTAAACCATTTCTAATTTCTGTAGAATACCGTGTGTTATCTTTCTATTTGTGATATGGTTTAAAGAATACAAAATTTGGATTATTCTTAATAAAAAATATTTCGTTTTATTATTTGTCATGTTCACCACTAATAAATTATAAGCTTCATTAGCTATTTAGCTTTGTCTTCGTTTTTAACCACAACATAATTTTGATTGTTAAGTAGGTACTGAAATTATATTAATTCATTATTTTAATTCTTATTTAAATATTCATTTATCACTTTCCAGACCATTTTTGTATCTTTATTTAATATTTTTATTTTATTGAACTAATACACTAATACAAATTTTTTGCTAATTTAATTCAAAATTTTTATATTTGTAATACCATCATAGCATAGAACAATATGATCATAGATCAATTTATAATACCTGAGGTTTTAACAGTTTAAATATCTACTATTTATTGTTAAGGGGCCTGCACGTGACCTGTTTTTTTGCTGAAAAACATGCCTTACAGGAAAAACTCTCATGCCTCGTAGAGTGTTCCGATTTCAATCATTTTTTTTTTTTTTTGAAAGAGATACTTCTTACAGAGCGCGTTGGACTTAGAATTTTAAAATTCTATTTCTAAACTATACAATACGATTTTGAATATGACCAATTTTTCACAAGATTTTGTTACTTTTATTATGTTTGTTTTAAGCGACGAAATTAAAAATCTAAGTCCGATGGGCACTGTAAAAAATTATACTCTTTCTAAAGAGAAAAAAAATTAATCAAATCAGACCACTCTACGATGCCTGAGGGCTGAGATTTTTTCCCGTAAAGTATGTTTTGAGCAAAAAATCATGCATTTTATTTTTGGTTGGTGGTGCCGTTGACAATACGTGTGCACATGCAGTGCGTTTGTAGATAGCCCGGTACAGCATACAATCACTCACACTAATCATTATTGACAACTAACACAAATGCCATTGGCGCCGGAAACGAAATTGCATATTGCCTAAATATTGAGCCTTATTAAGACACACGAGCAGGCCCCTTAAGGCAGTCTACTTGAGAGCGCTAGTATCGTTTTTTTAAAATTCCGGATTTTTACGGTCCACGATATTATGGTCCGCACATTTTTATTTTCCGGATTTTTACGGTCCGGGATATAACGGCCCGTACATTTTAACTTTCCGGATTTTTACGGTCCGGGATATAACGGTCCATACATTTTTATTTTCCGGATTTTTACGGTCCGGGAATATACGGTTTACAGCTTTCCGGATTTTTACGGTCCGTGATATTACGGTCCGAATATTTACATTCCGGAATCGTACGGTCCGTTCAATTATTTTCCGGGATTTTACATGCGTCCCTACGTACTCGTTTTATAGCTGTTTGAATATTTATTGGTAAATGGATTATTTCGTTTTTGGGAACGACAAATAATATTGATAGTTACTGAAGTGATTACAAAATCGTATATTCATGTCCACGTGAACGTTTTTAAAATTAACCGCTAATGCGTAATAACTAATAAATAAATAAATATTATGCAGATTGATATTATATACATTGTAATCGCGTACCTATAATAGGTATTAGGCACTGGAATACTATATAATAAAATTTTAATAATACTCATCTACTATATCGACAGTAATAAAAATTTGTAATCGACAAATAGCACGACCACCTATTAAGATAATGATCCCATTCACATATTTCCTATACAGTAGCGTGTGTATTACTAATATGCACGTAATATGTATGTAGGTACACATATAATATTACAGTAATAATTGTTATGATAACAATAGTGTGTTTGGCACCGAACATAATTTATTGCGATCGTTACGTATGTATTATAGTCACTTTTTCTCGATAGCCAACTAAACCTGAAACGAATCAAAGGTTAAAGAAAGAATGAAAAAAAAAATATCAGTATGGCGTTATTTTATAACAGAGTACCTATATAATAGTACCTACCTACAATCAACAATACACAATATGATGATGTATGCAAAGTATATTAATTATATTTAATCCGAACGTATCCATCGTGTTCCCGTGATTAGTATATTATTATACGCGTGTGCTCGTGCGCGTGTAATTTATTCGGATGTTAATATAATATCGCAGTATACATAGCAACTTACTGTAGTAACGCCTTGGCGTTCACCCCGCCGCAGGAGAGGGTTGTTTGAAAGTGGTGGCGTGTGTTGGTGAGTAACTGCTACCTAGGTATACACATTTCGTATACTGCAGTATATTATAGGGAAAACGAGAGACGGCGGAGACGGAGAGGAAGAGCTCTGCGCTGGTGCATTACCTTGTAAGGTTTCGTTCTGTGTGGATGGTTACCAAAAGGAAGTACCCAAGGATTTCTACGGATGACTGGCCGGCGTGCTGTCCGCCGTGTACGAGGAAGGCGAACGAAAAAACGTAATTACTCTCCTATGTATACCACGACACACACTATATATAGGTAATCGCGGCGTTTAAATAAATCTGTTAGAAGTCACGGTTTGTGTATATGTATGTACTATATATATGTATGATCATAATATAATAATACTAAAATATAATATATAGTATTTATTATATTATAGAAGGGTGTTTTTGTCATCAGCACAGGACTTTATGGGAATAAACCTAGGTCTACAGGAATTTCAATTAAACGGTCATTTTCGACGTAATCCGTCCATCGTCGCCGCACCGAAACCATCGTTAATGTCACGTACACTGTTTAAAGCGCGTTAAATCCTCCTTTGAACAGATCTCCCCGAGAAATACAAAACACAAATTTAACTTAACAAATAACAATGCGTATACCCTTTGCAACACTATAACATAATAAAATATTATTATACCTAAATATTATCTTATATTCTTATAAATTATAGTGCGACGCATTAGATTGTTATAAATTATTACTACGACGAATAATATTCGAGACACGCGGTATTATGCCGTGATTTATAAATTGTACAATGATACATATAAGGTCATTCTATCTTAGGATCTTTTGGGTCGTTTTACTTTTAAAATATTTATATTATAAAACATATATAACATAATCGATACCATCGGAGAACACAGCGCCGAACACGATAGTTTTCACGATAGACTCGGAATAGGGTCGGTCTGCTGTAGCAGTCTGGGTCGAAAATACCGAGTGGCGTCATTTTTCTCCGATCGCAACATATTCCCGGGTCCATGTATTATGTTATGTGCGTGAGTGTGTGTATGTTTATTGGCTATAATCTTAAGTGGTATTTTTGTCCTGTAACGCACGCGTATACAATGCTTATAATATGGTGATTGATATAATTGATAAGTGATGAGGGATGGCGAACAGTCTACATAATAATATACGTACGAACATGTATAGTACGACGTCAGTAGGTCGTTATAATTGTAATAGTTGATACATGCATAGCGTTTTTCACATGTAAAGTATTTACTTTTCGAATACATATACATACGTATATGCACCAAACATTATCTCTATGTATATGTATATATATATATATTGGATAGAAGGATCGTGTGGTTCGTTCATGAAGCGTCGAACTGTCGAAGTGTTTATATTAAGTCGTGCAAGCAACATTATTATATATGGAACCGATAAGAATTCGATTTTTGAACTAGTTTGAAAAATGCAGCTTTATTTGTATAACATGTTATTGATTTCTAAATTTGCAGAAGAAAAATTAATGCGTATTGTCTCAATTATTGTGGAAAATAATTTTACAAATTTCCGTCTATACTACAATATAACATGCTGCTGTTGATCCAACATAATATATTATTATATATGTATTTTTAAGGCTATTAAATAGTATAATATATAATTATATACACAACGTTAACAGTGCACTATTATATTATTATAGGTTTACGATAACTTGACAGATGTATAAAACGTATTTAGTAGAATATAGACGAAAAGAACATTTTTAATGTTTTTTTTGTTGTTGTTGTTGTTAAAACGGTATGGAAAGATTTACTTTTTAATATTAAATAAATGAAGGTTATAACTACCTACACAACACCACACATGTTATATACTATATAATTTTCCGCCTACTGACGGTTTCTTTTTATTTAAAGTTTTCCTAATTTGGTAAATTCGTAAAAGGTTCATGCGGTTCTCATACGTTGTGTATACCATTTACGACCAGACACTGTGGGCGATTCGATAAAACGTTTATATTCCACGATGGAATCATACGCATTTGACCGTGGAACGAAAATCTCGACGTATAGGTAGGTGATAAGTCGGCTTATATTAGTGCAGTTAATATTAGTATAATAACATATAACACTGTTGTTAAGATGCTTATTTTTTCCCATTCAAAACTCAATTTGCAAAGAAATACGGAATATAACTTGATTTTACTGAATAATACATCATAATCTTATAGATACGCCTGTTGTTATGTTTGCAGAGAGGTTTTCTATCGAGAATTCAAATTCTGTTATGTTGAACGACCAACGACCGCCACCGGTCACCTCAGCTGGCAGGAGGTGTCTCTTCCCGGCCGATCGTCAACAACCTGCAACCCCCGACGACAATTTGGAATTGGCGATGGAAATCGAACGGGAGCTGCTGGCACGAAAACGGAACCAGTGGAGTTTCGATTTCGTCAACGGTACACTGGTGGATGAAGAGCTTTCCAATAGTAATTGGCAATGGGAAATAATCGTTGTATAGGTGTCGATAATGACGACGAATGTCGGCCACAAGTTTGATGATAAATTTACTATTGTTAAACATTGTAATTTATTATGATTATAAAATTCTACATTCAAATCTGTACTGTACATAGCTAGTTTTACTTTTACATAGTACACGCGACGTATATTATTATTATAATTATTGAGATTGCATGTGGTGATTAATATATCATACCTATGTAGGTACATTGTACAATAATATAATATTATAATATGGTGAACGTACTAAATTGATGTTTACACAACATGTTTTTATTATTTGAAGATTAGGTCGGTATAGATTACAGTGAAATATATTATAATAGTAATAATAATATAACTAATAACTAATAAACAATAACTAATGAACTATACCGCGATAGGCAATAACATTATCGATTGCGTGTAATTATTGCCATTTACCATATTAATATTAATTTACCTAATCATTTTGCTGCGTGTATGCGTCTAAAGTCATTGGTCGGTGTAAATTATAAAATGTTCACTGTAATAATAAAATAATGAATAATATGATATTCATCATTAGCAGTCCTGTATAAGAAACTATACGTTTAAAAGGCACTATGTATATTAAAACTTTTTGAAACAAAATGTTGAGATAAACAACACTTTTAATTTGTCGGGCTAACCGTATAATATAAGCAACCATGCTTATCTTATGTATACTTTATTGCAGGGGTCTGGCCGTCTGGGGATTCAATATATGGGATTATTTTAACATCACAATATTTGAGTACAGTTTGACGTATTGATACTATAATATATTATACATATAAATTTCCATGCGGGGAAAATATTTGACATTAGTTGTATGATTATAGAAGGGTTCTATATATACACCACAGGATAAGCAAGGTATCGGCCCACCGAACTTTAGGATTTTAACAGGCTCTAAAAAAGTTAATGACCCAATTGTCAATAAAATATAATTTTTATTATTATTCATTGTTCAGAGTTCGGGGTATTCAAATATTTTTGGCCATATATTACTATAAGCCTGCCCAAATTTTAAGCGACACAGTGCCCACAGACTTCAATTCGGTAACTAACGCCCTGTTCCGGATTCCGGATTCCGGGCCTGTGTATATAGTATATACCATAAATATAACAATATTACTATCACATGAGTAAACTTATTTCTCAATATTTATATTAAGTGTTTAGTACTTTAGTGTACACCTCTATATTTTTGCGTAAAGAATCCTGACTTCATCCACGTTTATAATAATGCTAGGTAGAACATTTTATCAGTTATTTTCGATGTACCTAAATAACCTTGCGGCATAAAATAATGCAGCTCGATTTAACTGTATAGCGATTAAGTGTAATAACTAATAAACAGTCTGAACCAATTTTAATTCGCACACGTCTTGTACTTTGATTTATATGTAAGGTGAATTAGTATAACGACGTCGAGATGATGGTTATTTTTCCACTACCTCTGTTGTAGTAGGCAGATACATAATATTATAGTTAAACAACCATATTATTATATATTTGTGTTAACAACTATATGAATTAAGAGGACGTTGAACCCGCATTTGTTGTCTCTGTCTTACCAACGTGTAACCTATAGGTAGTAGATTTTACGTTCAGAAGAATTTGTTTTACTCTGTCATTTTTAATATTAGTGTGAATTAACAAATTAATTTACTATAAAATTTATTTAAAGGTAACTGGTAAAGATATTATCTTGCATTAGGAATTTTTTGACCTATAACTATGATAATTTTAAAATTGTATAACGGATCCTTCTAAAAGTTATATTTGCTTCGTTATGCGTTAGTAATATGGAGACAACACATGGAGGTTTAACGTTCTCTCAAGGTAATATAATATACTATAGTGGTACAATCACTCATAGGTACAATAGGTACATATATGTAACTATTGGTACTTGATAATTTAAAAGTACCTATATTAGACATTATCCATCAGGGTTAAACTATAAAAGTGTGTATAAACGGATTTATTGGACAGGAAACATTAAAAATCTACATCACCTAGCTATAGTAACGACAATTAAAAAAAAAAAAAAGTTTTTTCCCAACACTCTCATAACGTAATTTTCTCTCATGCATAAAAACATAAGTCATGGTCCGACAAACGTAGTCGACATTTCCTATTTATTTTCCCAGAGACTGAATCGTTTTGTGATTTTTATTTTTTTAGTCCCATGACAATGAAAACACACCTATAATGCTATAACGTGTATATAGTAATCAACATGTTTTATTCTACTATAGGTACCTGTGCTTTATATACCTGTAATGTATATAAATATATTGGATCATTATCCAACGCTTATGTTGCATCGGATTGATAATTTGAACTGTATGTGCTTATGCATACGTGCCCGAAAAAAATAAATATTTTTTAGTTTTTGTTGGACAGGATATCCGGTGTGCAGTTTTTGGCTGTATACATAATATAATAATATGTAGTACCTACCTTTCTAGCGCTTCGCCGGACACACGCCGAAGCAGAACAACGGAGGTTGACGAGTACAATATGACCAATATATTATATATGCGGATACACGAAAACTAATTATGTATACATTATAATAATTATTTAATTTATACAGGATCGTCCTGGTTTTGTAACTCAAATGTTGGGTGATCCAGCTTATTCCTGCAGCGGGTACACACGTTATTTGTTGTATTATTATTATTTATGTTAAAATAAAATACAATCAATACAGTTCTGACACCTACGTGATATATATATATATATAAGGATAATTCAATATACTAATGGTAAATTATGTACCTATACTTGAATCTAGATCCTATCATTTGTATAATACATATTATAATTTATAAATCGAACGTTATACTTTCTTTACACTTTAAACGTACCGGCTTGATACTTCATTACTAATTTCTGATAAGGTTCATACAAATATGATAATGATTGGAGATAGTATAATATAGTGCATAAACTAGTACTAGCAGTAGGTATACCTATTTGGCTATAGGCTATTTACTATTTACACAATCATATAATTTTTTACATTGTGAAAATATGTATTATTAAATATATAATATATATACATAATATTCACGTTTTTATAATAAACGAACACAGCAGACCGAAAAGATAGTTATCTCTATAAGATATTCACAAGACTATAGGATTTCCTCAGAGTATATATTATAATGTAATAGATCAATGCCCCTGCCACCGTCGACACTTTAGCTGACTTCAGTTGTCGGTTCCACCTCTAATAATTGGGCGTTGAAGTTTCTAATAATACAGCACGACTGCTGTGCAGTGATTGGGCGCACCTCCTTCTCGGATAGGAAGTCGAAGGACATCTTTTACGTGGGAAAACTTTTTACATATATATTATATACACACACAAACACATATACAATATATAAGTAGGTATCTGGTATATGTTATACATGTGTATATATTTATACGAAGGACTAAATCACTATTTTTTTAACACTTTCATATTTTACTTTTTAGGTACCTACGTCTATTTATAGCATTCAGTTATTTCCTCTAGTATCAACATGATGCACATGAACTTGAACAGCTGAAACTATAATAAATAAATGATAAGTGTTCTACATTCCCACGACGGTTATTATTTTTTAAGTGTCGCATTGTCAAGTATACACAACGCGTATCTTTTATTCGTGGCAGCGGGGAGTACTTGGTGACTGGTATATAATAATATAATAATATTACATCTGAGCGTGAAATAATTCCTGGGCAGTGTGCGACATAATGAGCCCACCAAGTCGTGATATCCGACAAGTTAAATGGCTTATTATAAACGAACAAGAACGGTTTCATTATTGGTACAATACATAATATTAATATACAATATTATTGCCTGCATATACTGCATACTATATTACTATTATTAATACTGCAGTGTTGCTAATTTAATGGTTTTTCAACTTTTTTTTAAATTTATTTTCATGCATAGTGCATATGAATTAATAGACAAATGTGTTCGCCAAAACCAGAAAAGTGTAAAAATAGAAATTTAATTAAAACATTTAAAACATTAACTATACAAAACACCTGAGGCTTGTTCCACATATGTGATCAGTGTTATCAACTATCAGGTGTATAATAATATTATGTAAATAATAAATGGTAAACCTATGCTTAAGTAGTGCCCTGCGAGCATTTTCATAGAAGTAACAAATTTGTTTCCCTTAGGATTTCAAAAAAATGTTCTTCCTATGTTCGGAATAAATTGAATGGTTTTATTGTCAATAAACTAAATCAATTACATGTTATCTTAATAATGTGTAGGTTAACCAAAATACTTACGGTTTTTCTTTTTTCATTTTGTTTTTTTGGAGGAGCGTTAACATTTTTATTGGGGGGGGGGGGGGGATACCGAATAGGGTATTCCTTATTTACCCTCTTATATGCTAGCTAGATTTTTATTCTATTGAAACTTATAGTTATGGACGTTATGGTATATCATAATATAATATATATTATTTATATTGTGTTTTGTTAATAAATATTCAAGATTTCGAAATATTTTTTAATTCTTCAATATATTTTGAATTTGCCCATTTATAATATTTACGCTTAATTTTAACTATTTTAATTTAATGTACGTATATAAATCTATTATTTAAATTTATTTATGTAATTTATTTTTAGAGCGGTGTAAAAAAATAAAGTGCACAAATTGTCTGGTCCGTGGGTTTAAAATATTTATCGTTTGCATTCGTATAGCTGGTCTTTAACAAACTAAATATGATTATTATATCATTTTCATTGCGGATTTAATAATGTAAATGAGCTAAAAAATTATTCATGTATAGCTAACGTAAAATATATGTGATATATAAAATCAATGTTTCGTAAATGGGACAAATGTAAATTTTGTTATGTTTTATTAACGGTCATACGATAACCACTCGAAACGCAATACAAATATAATATTATAATATAATATATTCTTACAACATAAACAACGATGATAAAATAAAA